CCGACCCACATGCAGGACCTTGCACTTGGCCTTGTTGAACTTCCTGAAGTTCACGCAGGCCCACCTCTCCAGCCTGTCAAGGTCCCTCTGAATGGCATCCCTTCCCTCCAGCGCGTCAACCACAACACAGTTTGGTGTTGTCGGCAAACTTGCTGAAGGTGCACTCAGTCCCACTGTCCATGTTGCCAACAAAGATATTGAACACCACCAGCCCCAGTACCAACCCCCCGAGGCACACCACTCGTCACTGGTCTCCATCTGGACATTGAGCCATTGACTGCAACTCTTTGAGTACGTCCATCAAGCGGTCCATCTGTCAAATCCATGTCCTTCCAGAGACAAAGACATCATGTGGGACAGTGTCAAATGCCTTGCACAAGTCCAGGTAGATGATATCAGTTGCCCACCCTTTGTCCACCAATGCTGTAACCCTGTCATAGAAGGCCACCAAGTTGGTCAGGCACAAATAATCCATGAATGGAATCAGAAGCAACAGCACATTCTCCTCACCAGAGACAGACAGAACATTAAAAAAAAGTCTTTGCAACACAGACTGAGCAAAAAAAAAAATGGAACCGAAACAAATAACTGAATCTATATTGTAGTCCATAGAACTATTAGAAGTGCTAAAGCTTTTTAAAACAAAATTGGCTTAGAGCAAAGCATGGCATTTCTTTAGAGAAGAGCAGAAAGTCTAGAATATCTGTTCGTCTCTATACACTCATTGACTTGAGACCTGAGTAAATTCTGGCATGAAGTCCCCAAATTGAACTATACTAACACCACAGAGAAAGACAATAGTTGTACAGTCATATGCTTGAAGCATAGCAGAATTTTGCCAGAATATCCATTTCCTGCTGCAAACCTAATAATGCAATATAGTTAACCCCTGCACACTCAGCATTCATCACAAACAAAACACTTGTCAGTGAGAGCCCTTTACCTACTGAAAGACAACGATCCAATGACCTAAGTTTCATACATAAACAAGAAAGTTGCAATAACTTGGAAACAAGACAACATTGACACACGACACAAGACAAGCCTGTTTCGAACAGAGCAGGCCAGAAGCTCCACCCAGAATTTTAATCGAGAAAAGATTTTGCAGGACCTCCTATATTTCCAATGCAGGTTGTATAGCCTTCAGAATAAAATTCATTCTCTATACCTGAAAATTTCAGATCCTAAAAATCTTCTTTGACACTAGTAGTACAGAAGTATAAGTAATTATATATACATATGTTACTAAGTTCTGCCAGTTGCTGAATCATTTCTACTACTCTATCTGAAAGTGTCTTCATTAACAGGTGGTCAACTTTTTTTCATAGTAAAAGACACACAGCTATTTTAAGTTAATAACAGACCCCACTGTAAATAATTCCCTTTTCTGCTCTATCATCTTCTCCTACCAAGAGGTTTTTTATTTTAATAAACTGGAGGGGTCGAGATATGAGGTGATTAATAGGTATTCATCTGATTTGTACACAAAGGAAATTTAAGGAGTTATCACTGCCCAAATTAAATAAAAAATATAATCCACAATGCATAAGCAATAAATACCCATAGTTTAGCCTACTGTCTCCCAGAAAAGTAATAGAACAGTTTAATCCTTGAACAAGAATGTGTTTTAAAAGTTTTTCACAGAATAAACTTCTTTAAAGCCAGTATTTTCCTTTTCAATTTTAAGAAGTGCTGAAATACACAAAGCCATATCTAACATGGGCTGGAAAACTAGGATCTCGGAGAATACTGACCGAAACAAAGCAGATCAATTTGGATAGTTCTAAGAGTAGAATTTCCAAAGACAGTAAAATGAGATTACTAGGGTTTTGATGCATGCTAGAAGTGAAATTGCTAAGCACTCTGTCATACTGTTGGACAGAGGAAATGTTATAAGTGGCTCTTGACTCCAAGATCCAACACTGCAGGACTGAACAAGTTATTTGCTCAAGTAATCAGGACTACAGAAGCTTAAATTTCTTTAATAAGGAGCAGGTCAATTACTTTAGATTTTTGACCTTCTGAGTCTTTCACTTATAAAGCATGACCACCTCTTAAATCCTCCAAGAAGAGGAACTTCAAGACAGCACTTTGGGCTTCTCTTGACTCTCCATCACAAACAACAAAATTCACCATAATCTCCATATGCTACAGCAAACTTGAGGAGCATAATTAAGCAATATGTTTGCTCAAGAAATAACTATTAGGTCAGCTAATCTCCCTTTTTAAAAAATGTACTCTTCACATCTGAGAGTTGTTATGCTATGAAGAATAAGTATGTAAAAACACCTTTCAACACAGATTTGCCCAGCCCTCCTTCCACTCTGGTCTAAAAATGTCTCACTTTAGTGATCAAAAAATCCCCCAAATACTATACATCTCCTCCTTTCAAAGTACAAGCAGTGAGCTAGCTGATTTCTGCTAACACTGCTGAGGTAGTGCAGTTATGAGTCACCAAACTGACTGAAACTCAATAGGAGGGGATATGTTGGGCTTAACTCCATTAGTAACAACAGATCACAGCATGATTTTCATATCCCCAACTGAACCTGCACACACGAATAAACTTGCTCCAAGAGCTACTGGGAAACAAACTACCAGAAAAGCCATAGCTAAACCCCACTTTTTCATATAAAAGTTAAATCTTTTCTGCATACACATACAGAAAAATAAGTACACCACTGCTAACCAATATTTCACTGATCGATGTGCGATTTCAGAGGTATCAATCAACAAAACAAAGAGGTCACAGCTAACGACTGAACGCAGACAGAACTCAATGACAGATGGATGAGTATTGCTTCGTAGGGAGACCTTGTATCCCAGGAAAGATATATTAAAAAGTCAGCTTAACAAATTTTTAATAAAAAAAAAAAACCAACACAGAAAAGAGATGCTTTCTGTAACAAAAACTGTGAGTTTGTTGGCTGAGTTAATTTTTTAAGCATTACAGTTTTAAGAAAACCACAGAACATCGAGACATCTTCTCCTTCCAAATTAGTCATCAGTAGTTGATACGTTTTCCCTTGAGTCAGAGAAACCAAGGGACACACTTTTTTTTTATATTGCCCAAAAAATTTGGATTTTGTTCTCACATAATCCAGGTAAAGTGTCCTTACTACCAAACTACTGGATGTTTCATGACAGCTATCAACTGATTACTGCTCTGATAAAATAACGTGGCGCAGGAACGCGAACTTTAGCCTCCCACATCGTAGGCAGGTTGGCTGCAATGGTTGGGGAATCTTCTCGGAGAGGTAAAGGATGTTGTTTCACTGGCAGAAAACACGAAAACAGTTTCAAAAATTTCCAGGGCCAGAAACTCTCCCCTGCTTCTATCTGGGAAATGAAGATCCAAGAGAATATAGTCCAGGTCAAATTCTCCAGACCTCCTAAATCTAAAATCAAGTATTCTCTGAATCAAGCCATATTTTTCATTCGTCTCTTGTCCACAATGGAGCAGAAAAGGAATCCCAGCATGAAGGAGCTTTTAGTTGTTTAATTATTCTG